TTTCTAAGTTTTCGTAAATCCGTTCTTGCCGGTATGAGAGAAATAATCAAACGTTTATAAACTTAGGCAAGTTGCTTGCAGGACTCGCCATACTGTATATATCTACTGTAAATAATAAGTAATAATCTGATCGTTTCCTTCCAGTTATTTTTGACGAGCCTGATCGCCTGAAGAGTCGCAGCTCAGGTCGACTGCGCGTTGTCGGTGGTCAGTTGATTCAGTGCAAGGCTCCAGCGGGTGCCGCCTCCAACAATCCGCAGGATCTGCAGCGGTCACAGCCCGCCAGATATTACATCTTTGAGACCCTGATCAGTTCCACAGACCGCTCGCGAATATGGGATCAGCTGCAGTTCTGGGAGGATGCCTTTCTCGATGCCGTTGGACGTGAACGGGACATAATTGGTGAGTGACTGTAGGAGCTTGGGGTTAGTTCCCCACAACCAAATAATATCCGGCCGTGTTCTACTGGCTACTCGGCACTCGCGTCCTGACCTGCGCACATATCAGCGCTGATAAGCAGACTTTATGGAATCACTGATTGCTACGATTTCCAAAGTATTCACAGATTCTTTTTACTGCCAACGTGAACGAAAAATGGGAATAGTATGTGAATGTCTTCATGACTGCAGCACTCAAAATAACATTTACGGAGTATGCTCTTTTACTAAATGAATTGTTCGTAAGTTTTTTTGCAAAATCTCAAGTGCGAATTTTTAAACATTTGTGTAGAAACAATCAAGTCTACAATCTATTTCGCGACCCTCATTGCAACTCAGGCTTTTCAAAAATGCAATGGAAATATGTGGAGTTTCGAAAGACAATCATTAAAATACTGAATTATTAACACTTATGACAACACAAGTGCCACCTAAACCAACTTTTACCTCGGTTATCCGTACGACTACTTATTGCGTAGGTATCTGACTGCCTATTGGCGGCTTGTTAATATCGCGCAGTTATTTCACGCGAAAATCATAGTTTCAGCTGAAATGTTCGTAGCAACTTTCGTATTAGCCCTGAGAAGGGTTGTAGCAAAGGAGGTTTTTGCAGTTTACGGATTAGTTTCCTCAGAAACTAAACAAGGTACAATCTGTTATTATAGGATGTCTGTTGAACTAAAACCTTACTTTTTTCAGTCAGAGGAGGTTGAAAACGTCCACTTGCAAAAACCACTTCTATAAAGGTAGGATGCATGAGAGAGTTATGAACAAAAGGAACAGACATGAAAACAAATGTTTCAAAAAATTTATAACCAAGAAACCAGTTATCAGTCACTTTATACCTTTGCACACATTGTCTTCAACAGAAATGGACAGTTTAATGACAGCCTTTGTTTTCGCAAAATCCGTTGTCAATGCAATCCTAGAATCCATTTGTGGACTTAAAATTCTTCTCGTCGTTAGTAGGGTTATTTAAAGGTATCGTATAGGGAGCCAAATTCTGCATATTTGGATATATATTGTCGTAAATAGAAATGGACGGTTTAATTACAGTCTTTGTTCTCTCGAAATCCTTTGTCAACGCGACCCTAGAATCCATTTGTGTAATTTAAAGTCATTAGTAGGGCTATTAAATGGTATTGTGTAAGGAGCCGAATTCTGTATATTTGGATATATGGTACACTGCACACATGCTTTAAGGAAAAAGAATTACATTCTATTTTTAAAATGTCGAGAGACACTCGTAATTGCCTCTCAAATGTTAACTACAGGACTCTACAACTTCAATACGGCAGGGTCTCTCAAAATGAAATTGGCTGAGTTACGGAACACCTGCGGTTATTCCAGTCTAGCAAGTTTCAAAACGTGTTCTCTTATCTCCCTATAATTGTTACCAGACGTAGACCTATTAGATTTTCAGGAACACTTGACTAAAACCATTGTATGTATAGCATGTGATATGCATGTGATATGCGCGTGACCATTTTGACAGAAAGCAAGTAATCTACAGAATACCATGTTCCAATTTTGATGCAGTCTATTGTGGTCAAACTGGGAAAACCCTAGCTACCCGCATCCGA